AACAACAACAACAACAACAACAACAACAACAATAATAATAATAATAATAATAATAATAATAATAATAATAATAATAATAATAATAATAATAATAATAATAATAATAATAATAATAATAATAAAGTGTTATCAAGTGAGAACCAAATTATAGCCACCCTAATAGGGTTTTCAAGGTAAGTGAGATATTTAACGAGTGGTTTTACCAGTTCCACATCCCCAGTGAGTTTCCATGACTGAGCAGGGATTCAAATCCTGTTCTTCAGAGTCCTAGTCCATCACTCTATCTACTACACACCACACTGGGAATCCATTATTATTATCTGTTTATTACATCTTTCATTCAGACAATTGAAGATAGCAAAGGTGACTGAGGAGGCAAAAAACTGCTGGATAGCTCAGTGGTTTAGGTCTCTGTCTGCAGAACTAGAGGCTGGAAATTCAGTTTCGCACTGTGTCTCCTTGACTAGGGCTGGATGATCCATAAATTCCCTTCCATCCCTACAGTTCTATTGAATCTAGCCCCAGAAACCCACATACATAATATCCACACGTTGTGGGTCTGTGGTTATGGGTCTGTGGTTCAAGGTTTTGAACAGCCGCCACTCTTTCTGGCCTTCATAGATCTCACAAAGGCCTTTGATTCGATTAGCAGGGACAGCCTTATTAAATTACTTCCCAAGATTGGGTGTCTACTTTGACTGCTTAACATCATCAGGTCCTTTCATGAGGAAATGAAGGGCACTGTAGTTTTTGGTGGCTCAACATCAGATCCCTTTGACATCCGAAATGGAGTGAAACAGGGCTGTGTCCTCACACTGCCTCCGTTTGGGATCTTTTTTGTTGTCATGCTGGAGCAGGCCTTTGGAACTGCAACAGAAGGTGTCTATCTCTGGACTAGATCAGATGGAAAGCTCTTTAATCTCTCTAGATTGAGAGGAAAGACCAAAGTCCAGCGAAAAGCATTCAAGATTTCCTCTTCGCCAGTGATACAGCTGTTGTTGCCTTCTCTGCTGAAGACCTCCAACAACTCATAAATTGCTTAAGGCCTGCCAAGACTGGATTAACAATCAGCCTGAAGAAAACACAAGTCAGGGGCCATCTATTACCATCTCGACACAAGAATTGGAGGTTGTTCATGATTTTGTGTACCTTGGCTCAACCATCCCTTACACTCTCCCTAGATGTCTAGCTGGATAAATGCATTGGCAAAGCAGCTGCCATGTTCTCTACTCACAATGAGAGTATGGCTTAATAAGAAGCTGATGGCATATACCAAGATCCAGGTCTATAAAGCCTGTGCACTGAGCACACTCCTGTACTGCAGTGAGTCCTGGACTCTTCGTGCACGGCAGGAGAGGAAGCTGAACATGTTCCATATGCATTGTTTCCAACACATTTTTGGTATCATCTGGCAGGACAAAGTTCCAAATAGAGTAGTCCTAGAACAAGCTGGAATTTTTAGCATGTATACATTACTGAAACAGCGACATCTACATTGGCTTGGGCATGTCGTGAGAATGGCTGATGGTTGCATTCCAAAAGATCTCCTGTATGAATTAGTGCAGGGAAATCACCCCAGAGGGAGACCACAGCTGCGATACAAAGATATCTGCAAGTGGGATCTGAAGGCCTTAGGGATGGACCTCAACAGATGGGAAACCTTGACATCTGAGGGTTCAGCCTGGAGGCAGGCGGTGGATCATGGCCTCTCCCATTTTGAAGAGACACTTGTCCAGCAGGCCGAGGCAAAGAGGCAGTCCTCAAACCCGCAAAATCAGGGAGCTGGACAGGGGACATATTGTATTTTTCTTCAGTGTGGAAGTGATTGTCACTCTCGAATTGGTCTTCTCAGCCACACCAGACGCTGTTCCAAGTGCAGAGCACATTACCATAGTCTCTCGAGACTGAAGGATGCCTAATGTAAAAAAAATATAAAGTTAAATCGTACTCTTAACTACACATTCTAGGGATCAATGGTAAAACTAGTAATGAATATAATTAAAACTGCAGTCTTCTACCTACTTACCTGTCCGTAAGCTCCACTGAGTTCAGTTTTCTGAATAGACATGTAAGGACTGTGTTGTAAAAGAAGGAATTGTTAATTATTATCTCTTAGTATCTGAAGTAGCCTCCCAGAGACCTTTGGGTAGAGTGGGTGGTATATAAGTTAAATAAATAGTGCTGTACAGCGGTTTAGAAAGTAAAAACCAAGAAATGCAACCCCCATGTAGTTCATTCATTGTTTTCATTTGTACCTACTGATTACTTACTGCAAAATGGGAACAGTTCAAACAGAGGCTGGTGGGGAGCACCAAAAACAAATGTAAACTTCCTGCTTTTAAAATGAAAACAATGAGAGGCTGAACATTTTCCTAAGAAAATAAGGGGTAATATCTGTGTAGAATAATTACTGTAGGACTATTAGAACACCAGTAACTGGAGAACTGTATAGCGTGTTTCAAAGAGAGATACATTGAATATGATATAATAATATTGCATTGTATGATAACATTGCTACAATTCAAGTCACTGCACTTAAGCCTGCAATCATAAACATACATTCTTACTAAACTCAGTGGAATTAGTTATGAGTAAACATGCCTAGGCAGCTGCAGCATATCCACTTCACTGTTTTTGATCGTGAGAATCATCTGCTATATGATTGTTGGCTCAAATCAGATGCACATTTTTTTCTTGTTTGCTAATAGCCCCAAACTTAGTTATATTGATTGACCGATGTAAATTGTTATACCCCACATTTCTTCATAAAGTAAATCTAGTATGGGCAATAATTCTCTTTGTGTGTGTACAGATATATCAGAAAAGATAATTCCAGAAGTTCAAAAGCATAAATAAATATAAAAATAAGGTTAAATACCAGAGTCAGGAAGATACATACATTGACTTCCAGCACTTAGACCTTTTCTACATAATGTTCACTACTGAACTTGCCCTTTTAGGTACCATATTGTTGTTACACCCATGGTTGGAGGAGACCACTTCCTTATTTTATTTATTTATTTATTTATTTGATTTATATTTTAGTAATGACAACAGTTGTGGACTACAAGTGATACCTACATCAAAACATTGCAGGTGAAGAGTGCTTTGTTCAGGAATCTAGCTAGCCAGCAGCCATGCCCCTTTCCAAGATGCTCTATTCCATGCCCCCCCCTCCATGACCTGGATTTCTGACCTCCCCCCAGCCCCCATTAGTCAAGTCTTCTGAGCTTACTGAGCAAACTCAGCATTGGACAGTTGGAAGGATTTTTCACTTTCTTGCCAGGCTTCATAAAAAAAAAAAACCTTGTAAGATTTTCCCAAAGCTTATTGGCATCTCTCAAGGATGGTACTCTTTTTTTTTAGCTGCAAAAGGATACACAGTAAGTTTGTTTCTTGTTGATAGGCTGCCTTGGCCAGAATTCCATTGGTGATTTACATGTGTGCAAGTGAAATCATTTAAACTGCAGCAGTGAGTTATTGTCAGTTAACAAGGTGCATGTTGCGTTCCTGGCTGTGCATCTAGCCACATGTTGAACATGCAACCACAAATGCAATCAGCATCTTCTTAACTGGCAGCAGTTCATCACTGTTACTTACACAATGTCCCTTATGCCAATTGCCAATAGGATCCTGGCCACTGTTTGATTGGTTCTGTTACATAGACTCCATACATCCATTCTGATGAACAGACGTATACCTGGAAGGTCCACTGATCACTCTGCCACTGGGAACTATTCAGCCCAAATACTGTGATGAAACCAAAGAATATCATACTATATCATACCCATATCATTTAAATCAGTGGTTCTTAAGGTTACTCAGGTGTTTTTGGACTACAAATCCCAGAAGTCTTCACCACCAGCTGTGCTGGCTGGGGTTTCTGGGAGTTGCAGTTCTAAAACACCTGAGTGACCCAAGATTAAGAACCACTGATTTAAATCATAGAATCAGAATAATAAGAGTTTGAAGAGATCCCAAGCAGTCATTAATTCTAACCCCCAACAATCCATGCAATTTATAGTCAAAGCATCCTTGACAGATAGCCTTCCAACTTTTGGTTAGAAACATCTAGTAAAGGAGAGCTTGTCTGTTCCACTTGTAAATTGCTCTTACTATCAGGTGCTACCAAATGGAAGGTATTTAGGAAGTTCTTCATATATAAGACATCAGTTTATGGTGTGGACATCATTCTCATTCTTCTCCTACTGGTAGTCAAGAGATGTGCATGCCAGACACTTTTGCATTTATTTCAGTTTTTTTCAGTATGTGCCTCTTTCATTTTCATAAGTTTTTGGTGTACTGGTGCTTTCATTTTACACAAAAAAGGAAACCTTTCCATTTTCTCTTTGTGTTTTCTGGCACTTCAGAAGCCCCAAAGAACCCTTAAAACTACTTTAAAAAGCAGAGACAAGACAGTAGAGAATCAATATACTTCAACAGCAGCCAACAGTATAAGAGAAAGAAAAATGAACAATCAGATCTATGTAGGCAGCACCACCCACCCAGGACAATTGAGTCTGGGTACCACACTAGGAACAAGGCAAGCAGTTAGCCAGTCAGGCACACAGGGATACCCACTCACCAAAGCCACCAACAACACAACAACAGGAACAACAAGAGAGAAATGTCCTGAGCTGTGCCAAAACCAAAACCAAAACGAACAACCTTTTGCACAGCTCAATAGCACATCGGAACAGCCACAAATGTTCCTGGCTCACTCACACAAAAGCAAACAACACAGTCCTT